TGTTTTTATTATGAACGGAGGGTCTTACTGATCTTTTGGCGCATGGGAAGGAGAGTGAAAATATTTCTGGAGCGGAGGTGTGTAGAGATGCCCCCACTATTACCAATCTCCTTTTTGTTGATGACTCATTTATCCTCATGAAAGCTAATACTCTCGGAGTCTCTGAAACAAGTTTTGGATCAGTATTGTATCACCTCGGGGCATTTGGTGAGTGTTGATAAATCGAGTATGGTTTTTAGTCCAAATACGAGAGTGGAAACCAGAGAACAAAGTTGTTCCATTCTGAATATTTTGACCGAGGCTCTCAATGAAAAATATTTAGGTTTACTAGCTAATGTGGGTTTAGATAAGACCGACTGTTTTTAATATCTAATCGATCGTATTATAAAGAAAATTAGTGGCTGGAAAGAAAAGTTATTATCCTCGGGAGGGAAGAAAATTCTTCTCAAGTTTGTTGTCCAAGATATACCTACATATGGTATATCTGTTCTTTAAAATTCCTAAAAAAATTGCAAAGAAATTATTGACATGATGTCCTAGTTTTGGTGGGGAGATGATCAAGACCAGAGCAGAATGCATTGGATGTTTTGGTGGAGTGTGTCCCAAAAAAACAAAGGATGTGTGTGTGTTTCTATGATATCCATTATTTTAGTTTGGCTTTGTTGGCGAAACAGGCTTCGCGTCTTCTTAAGAACCCAGACTCTTTATCCGTCACTTTTGAGAGCTAAGTATTTTCCTGATGGAGATTCACTGATGAGTTTAAAATGAGATCTTTTTTCTTGGCAAAGCATTATGGCGGGCGTATTCTCTGAAAAATGGTTATATCTAGCGAGTTGGTAATGATCGGTGTATTTGATATTTAGGAAGATGCTTGGATCCCTAATTGTGCTAACAGAAAAGTCATCAACCCAAAATGAAGTCATTGCTATCAAAGATATCAGATTTCATTGACTATGTCTAGCAGTAGGGATGAAGATTTGGTAAGACAAACATTGTGACCAATTGATGTACAACGGGTCCTTTCTATTTGTCTTCCTCAACATGACATGCAAGACTTTGTTGCTTGGATCTATACCAAGAATGAGTTTTTATTTTTTCTGTTTGATCTGCCTATTTCGTCAAATGGGATCACCAACATGGAGAGAAACTTCAAGGCACCAATGGAATGGGTCGAACCAATTTTAATCCCATTTGATGCAAGATTTGGAAATTATCTTGTCTGGCGAAGGTTAAAATATTTATTTGCCGGACATTACACGACACTCTTCCATGTTGTGTTACGCTCGCCAATAGATATCTGAAAATTTCGCCCCTTTGCCCATCTTGTTCTTCTGGTCTAGAAGATACAAAACATTTGTTGTTTCAATGCCAGAAAGCCAAGGAGGTTTGGAGAAGGCTGAGATTGGACAAAATTACTGAGAACTTGTGAAGTTGACCGTGCTGGTGATGTTGTCCTGGAATTTTTACTTCACTTGCGAGATCAAGATTTATCTGTCATGGGCCTCCAGAATACGCGTGAGCTGATTGCCATCACTGCTTAATATTTGTGCATAAGGAGAAGATTCAGGATACTATCCAGATTGCTATGGTGATTCTTGTTCTCATGGCTAATTATTTTCATGCTTCTCCAAATAT